CATTATTAAGTTGAATTTCTTCGTCAAATTTGGCACATGAAGTCTTTAGTCTCATGCCGACAGAAGTGCGATCTCAAAATTCGAAAAAAATGACAAGTAGCTGAAATTATGGAACGAATTGATGCGATATCGCACGTCACTCTGGCACGAGAAATGGCGTCCGTCGAATCACCTTGATAGAACGCCACAAGGTACTCAGTGTAAGAAATCGTAACAATTTTTTTTATTCCCTCACGTCCTGGGATACAGGAATATGTCGATAGTGGAACTGCAGAAATGCGCGTCTCGGTTTGCGGCACTGCAGACTTCCTGTCAGACTTTATTTTCTACGTGGAAGACTACTGAACGTCATTTTTTAAACATTTCAGTGATTTTTCTTCTCTTCATACATAAGTAGGGGGCTCCGCCTCCTGGTCGCTATGCCCCCCACCGTTCTGTTCGTTCTGTTTTGTTTCACTCTTGGTGTAAAGTTTGAAATAAATGCCGCTCAATTCATTCGATTCTCATTGGTCCAATCGCTGCCGGCTAGAAGAAGATTGGACAAATCGTCGTTTTCCTCACGAAAGAGCGTAACTACATTTCAATGTTGCCAAATTTTCCTTCATAAATTGCATTTTAACCAGAAAAATCTTGGGCATTTCTAACTGAAAATTTCACTGATTTTTCTTCAGATTTCATGCATAAATCAGACGGATTTGGATAAAAATTGCACACTTACATTTTTGTAAAATAAATTAATTATTATTGGAGTCAATTTGGCAACCTTAAATTTGAGTTACGTTCCTTCGTGCGGGAGACGACGAAATGAGAGTCGGGTATGAAAATCTTTTCATTTCTTTGGTCGCTCTCTCGTCGAAATGGGCTTAAGAAAGCGCGAAGCGTCCTCTGGGAGTTGGGCCACGTAGCGGCCAGGGGAAATAGCCCCCTAGTATTTTCCTATTTTTCACTATTACAAGTGTGGAAGTGAGAGCCGCTGACAAGGAGTTAACTCCTTCTACAGCAATTTGAATAATTCAGCGAAAACATTAATACGAACGTCTGTCAGCTGCTGGTTAATGAAACTCTGCATCAATGGCGAACCACGAATGATCGATTATAGATATTTCCCCATTTGAAGCCGTGGAAAAGAATCGAATGTCAGGGTGTTCGCTGCAAACACATCATTTATCGATCCTTTTCCATGGATTTAAATAGCAGATCAATCGATCAATCGCAAAGCACGCAACGTCACTTCTCTGTATTCTTAAAGCAGTTGGGCTACTATTACAAAACAAACTCTAATTAAAAATTTAATCGAGAGATTAAAATTTAGATAAATCTTTTGACCTCAGGCTGAGGCTTTCCCATCAAATTTGAAATCTATCGACTTTCTAGGAAGCATAAATTGATGTAACTTCACTGAAGAACAGGAGATTGCAAATGAACAGTTTTCAAAACCACAAGTGCAGCAAACAAGGTCAATTTTTAAGGTCGAAGTGAAGTGACCGTAAATATGACAACGTTGTATGGAGGAACCTTATATCCGCGCGACCTGCTGCTGCTTCATCTACCCGATTGAGAAGAACTGATGCAGTATTCATTTACATCAGTGGCGAGGCATGAAGGATCAATTATCGATGTTTTCCATTTGAAGCTAAGGTAAAGAATCGATAACTAAAGTGTTCGTTGAAAACACCCTGTTTATCGATCCTTTTCCATAAGTTTAAATGGCATATCAATCGATATATCGCAAAGCGCGCAACGCCACTGATTTACATCTTGGAAAAAAATCCGCTATTTAGTTGTCACTACGATTGAAAACAGCCTCAAATGCTTTCTATAAATTCGTAACACCTCAATTACCCTGAAAATGAGGGACACTCAGCGCTCGAAAAACAAAATGATAATTAATAGATACGGCTCCCCAAATTACAGTTTCAATGTAGTTGAAAATAAGCACTTCTGAGAGGAGCTTCTGGACTTCTCTGGTTTGGATCCTAATTGTGGGGATGAATATGTACTTGAAAAGGATCTCTTTGATCGAATCTTACAAAATCAGAATAGATAAGTTCGGCAGGAAACTTTCTTCATGCTCAAATGTCTCAGAGTAGCCCACGGTTTGGATAAATTTAACACAAACTTGTGTGGCTGTGGAGCAACCAAATTCTTTAGGTTGATCTGACCCAAAAAAGGAACTCAAAGTAAGCATAAACACGAAAATGTCTAACAATGTAGGCAAAGGTACAGATAGCCAGGATCCAACTCAAATCGACTCAAAAAAATAACACAAAGTAACAGTAGACACAGAAATTTTTAGTTGGGTACCGACTTCAAATTGATAATATATGTAGGTTTCTCCCCACATTTTAGGAGACAATTTTGCCAATTTGCGGATCTCATGCGAAATTTTCGATGTTGGACTTCCCTCAATCAGTCTTTAATTCCTCTCGACAACTCTCCTCTCTAAGTTTCGTACGGAATGGCGCCACTGCCGCGGCCGCAAGGTTCCCTTTTCCCGTGAACTGACGTTCGGAGCAAAAACTTTCATTCGATTTTTTTCTAGAGCTACGAAAAGCCAGATCTTCCGTCGACATTTTTAAAGCATGGCAGCAACGCTTGTATTCGTATAAAAGTCCCGTTGCCAAGCGTGAGAAAAAAGACAGCTCAACTCAACAGTTACATTTACTGCTCCGTCCAGACGGGCAACGATGGTCCAAATCCACAAAAGCCTGTCTTTGCTGATTAATGGTCCTTCCGGGAGTGCATCAGCTGCCCCGGCGCCCCCCCCCCCAATCACGCCCCGCTCCCGACAAAGGCGCGGGATTAATAATTAGAATGATTTTCGACAAGTTTTAAATGCTTGCCGAACCTCCTTTCAAAACCGCGGAAAAAAGCTATAAATCAAAGCTCCGACTCAGCCGCGGAGCTTTAGAGTTGTGTTTACTATTTTTTAAAAGGAAAGTTCACGAGGGAGCTTTTATTTCCCGTTGGCTCTGGTGTTTACGCTCACTGTGTCTCCCTCACGTGGAATATGATTATATATGATATTTTATATTTTCTCGTCCCGCCTGTCAGTCACGCGGGGCTTTTAAGGTGATTTCCGGGTTAGGTGAAATAGTTCCCGATTGGCCCACCGCGTCGGGCCTCTGAGAAAAGTTGCGTTTCCATGAGGTATTTCGGTCGAACGAATCGAGTTTAGCAGCGAGGAGAGTACCTACACTGAAATATTGGTAGACTACAGCGCGAAGGAATGGTAAATTCTACCAATCTTTTTTTCCAGTGTATGTAGGAAGTGTACGGACATGTCGGTAATTTTGAGGTCAGATAATGGAGCTCCTAGGGCCCGAGAGGACAGCCAATCTATGAGTTCAAATTATCCTGAGTAATATTCAATATTAAAATAATTACGACCAGCCGTTGGGGAAGAAGTATTTGCCTTACTTTTTGCATAAATTTACTCATTTTTGCAAAAGAACGCTCATTTTTGGACATTCTTGGCTATTTTGGCTTGATACTGGAATCTGAAGATTGACAGTGACATTCTTCGTTTTCAAAAGTTGGCCGCTCTATTGGACCTCAGGAGCTCTATATTTCGACATGTCCGGACTCTCCCTGTATAGGTACTCTGGCAGGGAGGAGCGAAGTTTGTTTTTGAAAACCGGTAGGTTTCCCAGTTGTACGGCGGCCGTGGCCGGCCAGCGCAGAACGCGCATCGGCGCCTACAAACCTAAAGGGATACTTCGAGCATTGCGCCATGCGTGAAGTATCCCTTTAGGTTTGTAGGCGCCTATGCGCGTTTAATTCATTATTTATATCTCTACTCTAGGTTTTCGGGTCAAAAATTGTAATTTCAGTAAACGGCTGAAGCTTTTTCTCTTTATTGCCAACCATGATAGTCAACCTTTCTGCAAAAAAATGTTTCGTTTTTCTTTGAAAATTTTTTTCATAACTTGGTGCCCCCTTCCTGACTGAAAAATAACCAATTCGCCGACTCCTCGAATCGGCACTATATCGCAAGCAATTAAAGGTGCAATTGTGGGCAACGGAGCGCCTTCGAGATCTTAGAAATACAACAAACGCTACACCAATACACATTCGTTCCGACAGGCAAATTGCCTATACTGCACCTACCATAGTAAACACCCTCTACCCGCGATCCACGGATAACGCGATCGAGCACATTCTGCAAGGGAAATTTTGAGAGAGATCTGATAATTAGAGTATAGAATGAGTCGAAAAGGGTGTCTGCTAAAACAGGCTAGCCAAAAATCAATACTTTTACAGTGCTTTTTCAGTACATTCCAAAGAAATTCAGTGCCTCCTCAACACAAAAATGCAGTATTTTTTCAGTGCCTCCATTTGACGAAATTCTAAAAATTTTAAATTCTCCCTCGTATTATGAAAAAATGACGTAGCCACAAAATTTAATTGGTGGCTTGAAGATTAACTGGCACAATTGCGATCTTGCAGCGAAATACTACTCTAAGAACAAAAGCGCAGGGGATTACATACTTTCCAGGCTTTATTAAGAACACGCGTGGTAAATAGAAAAAAATTCCGGACCTTCTTGTGGGATTTTTGCACTTTTTCAGTCCTTCCGGACCGCACTTAAAAAATCAGTATACACTGTCTACGGATTTTCCGGAAATTCCAGACTCGTAGACACCCTGTTCTATAGTCCCTTTATACTGAGAGTCAAGACAACACCCCCTCATGGAGTCACAAACGGGAATAAAGATTACAGAAATTGAACGTTTTTCGTAATCTTTGATCGGCCCATTCTCAAATTCCTTTCTCCGTTCCCTCTCTCATTCCGTTTGTTCCTTGCCGAACCCGTGATTCCCCGGTCCATTCCAGATTATAATCTTTGCAATCGGTGAAAATGTAATCTTTATTCCCGTTTGTGACACTGCGAAGGCCTAAAATACGGGAACCAATCAGAAATGGATTCACATTGTCTTGACTCTCAGTATAAAGGGACTCTACCCTGTTCGAACGAAAAAAGAAGAGGTATGACTAACCTGTATGCGTTCGTTGATGCGCTTTGAGGTGGGAGCTCTTGGTGTATATTTTCTTGCAGTCGATATAGTCGCACCTGTGGACCTTCTTCTTGGAGTCGGTCTCCCTGGACGCCCGCGTCCTGGTCGAGCCGGTCGTCCCGGTCGTCCCGGTGGCCGTCGTGGTGGAGTTGAGGGAAGACGCCAGCGTCGCCCCGTTAGTCCTTTGGCCGGCATGCCCCCCGGGAGTCCCGGCACCTCCTCGCCCGTTCGTCCTTGCAGCCCCCGCACCTTTGTGCCCGTTCCTCAGCGCCGCCGTGCGCCCGGTCCCGGCGCGCCCGCCCGTCCTCGACGTCCTCGACCCGGATCGGCCCTTCGTCGTGCCCAACCCCAGCCCCAGGCCCCCGGAGGCCGCCCCCGCGCCCGCGCTCGGCGTCTTGAGCGACGTCCCGTTGCCGGGCGGCGTCACCGAGGCCAGGGGTATCACAGGCGTCGTCACGGTGATCGGGCCGTGGGTCACAGAAATCAGTCGCGTCACCCCCGACACGTCCCGCGCGGTGAAGCGCACGATGGCCCCCTTCGTGGCCATCTTGAAGAGGCTCCCGACGTCGGCCGCCGACAGCGTCGTCAGCGTGCTGAAGGCGTTCAGGCCGTTGAGCGAGAGGCCATTGCCCACGTTGTTCACGGCGCTCATGTTGACGCACTTCTTCGATTCCGGACTTGACGGCGGCGTCAACGTCGGCAGCGAGTCCCCTTCGCCCTTGGGTATGAAACTAAATCGGAGCGGGTTCTGCATCGCCGCCGTGTACATCTCCTCCAGCTCTTCGTCGTCGTCGTCCAGGAGCTCTTTCTTCACCTGGACGTCGCACTCCAGGTCCGACTCCCAGCACGGCGTGCACTCGTTCAGGTCCACGCTCTCCAGGAGCTTCTCCGGGATGACCAGGTCGTCCAGGTTCAGGGGGTCCACTCGGTCCGGCTTGGGCCACTCCGACTCCATGTCTGAGTCCGGGAGGGAGCAGAACAAGGGGTGCTCGCTATCGCTCCCGTCGCTTTTGAAGTCGCTCTCCGAGTTGGATTCGACGAGGAGTTCGCACTCTGGTTCCATCAGCGGCGACGCTGGAGATGAAGGGATCAACGGGCTGGACAGGGAGTCCAGGTCTGATAGAGATCGCTTTGGTGACCGCGGTGCCCGAGGTTCCTCTTTTAGCCACTTCTCCATCTCGTAACACGTCTGAAACAAAAATCAAACCGTCCTCTTTTAGATTGTTATGTGATTAGATTTTTACTACTTGTCCGAAAATTATGTCGAGTGCTGTTTTCGGGGTATTTTAATTATTACCTTCCTTTCTCCCATTTGTCAGGCACCTCTAGGCTCTTCTCGGAAGTGACCTTAGGTTGAGATTTTCCCCCGAAAATTTTGGAGGAAAATAAAGAATACCAGAAAGAAATAGTATGAAAAATCCGCGGCGTCAAAATCTCTAAGGAGATTATTTCATGTTGTTCATTACAATTGTAATGAATATTTAACATATGAACTATTGTAAGAGCAGAGCGAAGAAGGCGATGATTCAATAGTTGTAGGAGACCCTCTTTTAAAGCGGTGCAAGTTTATCTGATTCCATTAACAAGGATACAGGGAAGTTTCAAAAACATTTTAAAAGTTCAAACTTTACAAGCTTCTGAGATCTTCAATTATTGCTGGAAACCAGTCGTCACATTTGGTGTAAGCCCCTTCCCTTCTCTCTCTTTGCGTCAGATGCCTTTGGACGCGCCCAAGGATTTGGACGTTTTTATGGGCATCCTTGTGCGACTTAGAGTGAAAATGTGACTACTGCTGTACACCAAAACCATAGAAAGCCGTTAAATAAGGAGAAAAACAGATCAATTTTGATTCTTCTCAGATATGAAAGTCAAGAAATTCTAGAAGTTAGTGTCAGATATCTAGAGAAAAAATTTAAATATGCCTTAATGTAGAATGGAGCTCTTGCATGTGTCAGGAATTTGTGACTTAGGCACTGCTGATTCCAATGATACATTTCGCAAGACACACGATGGTGGAACTGGTTTTCTCTACAATCAGCTCCAAAGCTCAAAGAAGCTCTAAAAATTAAGTCCGTAATGGAGGGGATATACCAAGCTACTCCGAGAGCCCACCTCTATATCAAGACAAACTCTCTGTGCAAAAATAGGGGGCAAATACATTTACAGGGCTGTTACTTTGTTTGGGGACTCCAAAACTGAAAACACGGCAACCCTGCTACAGCTTTGCTCCCTATATCTTTGCACAGAGACTTTGTCTTGATGAAAAGGTGCGGACTCTCAGAGTATCGGGGGACATTCCCTCCAATACATCCTCAACTTTGAAAGCTTTTTTAGAGCTTTGACGTTGATTTCAAAGGAAACCAGTTGCACCATCGTGTTTCTCGCGAAATTGCGGATAGAATTCAGTGCTTAAATCACGAATTCCTGACACATGCAAGAGCTCCATTGAGTGTGTGCAAACAGTTACCACTGCATACACATTTTCCGTTTGCTCCTGTGCGTTATTTAGCAGGTTGCAGAAATGGGTAGATGACTGCACACTGACGCCGGGGAAACAGGAAAATACACACTAACACCCTCGACTTCAACGAGCTTGTATTCGTGCCGCGGGAGCCGGTGACGGATAACGCTCGTGGAGCGAATCAGTGAAGCCCCGACTCCGTAGACAGAGTGCGACGCGATACGAGAGTAGCCGCGCAACCGGCTGCAATGATTGGACAACATTTAACATCAGGGCATTCATTTTCGGCTCATTTTTAAAACACCGTAAGTGTCATTAGTTTCTCTATGCAGGTCGCCGTTTTTATGATGAGCCAGAAATACTAGTTCACTGTTGGAGAATTAAGGCCAATTGACAACATGCATGTTGTCACAGAAGTGACGATTCGCGTTTGTGAAAACGGAGAAGATTAAAAAGCTTGCACGCTCCCGGTTGCGAGAGCAAACCACTCGAGGGGTGGCGAACTTGATTTTGACAAAGAAAAACGATACGATTTAAAAATCGTTGGCGAAAAGGGGGATTTCCTTTGACTCTATTTTTTGCATTTTTTGGCTCCGAAATTACGAACTATCGCCAAAATTACGTCATTGACGTCACCTGTTACAAAATTTGACCCAAATCACGGGGATCCTTTGATTTATGTTTGTTGCCAATTTTGGATAAAAAATCGATCCCGCTTTCAAATAGACGTCTGAAAACCGATTCAATTTCTCCGACTTCTCGGGCGAAAAACTCGATGACTGAAGCCGATTTTTTCAAGTGTATCGATCTCGAAGTATCGGAAACATTTTCGGTAAAAATTCGATTCGTTTTCGAAGCCGGATGTTAAAAATCGATTTTTTTTCGAAATTGTGTAAACAAAATTAAAAACCTGAGTTCGGCGACTCCAACACAAATACTGCTAAAATTGAACTCAAAATGGAACTCAGATTTCATAGAATCTAGACCTAGTGTGCCACAAAAACGCGAAAAATGTCGACTTTTTTCAGTAATTCAATTTCGGCTCGAAAAATCGATTCCGATTTCAACTCGACCTCGAAAAATCGATCCGATACAAATGTTTTTTGCGCCAATAAAAGGCGCCATTCCTTTCATCCGGCGCGTCCGGATTCGCGTCGCGCGCCGCCGGTGGAAGCGGGCCTCAACGGAGAACAATTTTATCCTCAAGATCGGGATCACGGCACGAGAGCCGAGGAGAGGAAAGTTTTAAAATTAAATTAAAAGTTGGCGAAGCCCCGAATGTATTGGATAGAGCGGGAAAGGGATCGCGGATCGCGACGCAAGGGTGGCGGCGGCGACGGGGGGGGGGGGGGGGGGGGGAGGGGGGCTGTGCTTATCAATACAGGTCTCATTCTGTAACGATATTCATGCATTATGCATAAACGCTTTCTTCATAGAGCAGGAGACGAAGACGAAATGCCGGCACAGAGTCTGCTGAGCTGATGAGAATCAAATCTGTGTTGATGGATCTGCGACGCCGCGCCGCGCCCCGCCCCGCCCCGCCGTCGGGGGACAACAATCGCGCCCGTCTTTGCAGAGAACAACGTAAGAGCATCAGAATGTTGCCAAATTTAGTCGACAAACGGCATGTAACGTAACCAAGCTTCAGTTCGAGTCCCTATACAGGGATAGTGCGGATGTGTCGAAGTCGAAAAATTGAGCTCTTGTAGAGCCCAAAAGAACAGCCAATCTTTAAGAGCGGAAAATGTTACACTGGAGAAAAAAACACATTGGATCTAGAGTCCAGACTCTTGAAAACATTGACAAGAAAAAGGACTCTTGATTCAAGCAGAAAGCTTAAATCAAGAACCAAGCCTCTTAATTTGAGCGGATTTCCTTTTGATTTAAGCTTAAATCTGATTGAATCAAGAGTCCTTTTTCTTGTCGATGTTTTCAAGAGTCTGGACTCTAGATCCAATGTGTTTTTTTTTTTCCAGTGTAAGGCCACTCTTCAGATTTCGATATCAAACAAACATAGCCAAGAATATTCATAAATGAGCGTTCTCCCCCAAAAATGACTAAATTTATGCAAAAACTAATATCAAGGGGCGTTGAGAGCCGCGCAAAGTATAAACGTGGTAAAAGCCATTTGGCTATGCTAAATTTCCTTCGACAAATCACCAACTTTCAGGGATATTTAGGAAGATTCTGTTTTTAGGTCTCCAAGCTGGATTTAGTTCTTAATTTGATGTAAAAAGTTTGATAGTTCCAGGGAGAAATATTTATAACTTCCTTCATAAATAAATATATTTTGAGAAGAATAATGGCAACAATCGAATGTTCGTACGGCGTTTTTACTCAGCACGGCAGTTGAGCCCCCCTCCTCCTCCCACGTGGCAATCGCACTCCCTCAGCGTTCGGGAGAAAGGGGGGGGGTGGCGGCTCACGGGGCAAGATGTCACAAAATTAAATAGGATTGCTGTTAAAAGATCCGACGAGGGCAAATCAAACATTCAACCCCCCCCCTCCTCCGCGGCAGCCGAACCAGCGCCGCCCCCGGAATTCTCCCAATTAGAAGTCACGTATCGGCTTCGAATCAACCCCCGGTCTCGGAGCCGAGATATCCGCTGTTGAAATGATATTCTTCGGAATCCTGGCGAGCGTACCCCGATTCAAAGTCCCCCCTCCTCTCCCCCCCCCACAGGGTTTATTCTTCACCGTGATTTCAGGTTGTCTTGTGAATTGTCGCATGGTCTTTAGCTCAGCGCCTTTCGTGATTAACTCCAGGTCGATCCTTAGTTTTTAGCTCCGCATACCGCCGTCACCCCGATGTGATGCAGATTTTAGGCGTTACGAGTTTGCTGGATTCCGTCAGCTCGCAGATTGACGGACTCTGATCAATGGCGTGGCGTAAATGATCGATTATAGATATTTCCTCATTTGCAGCTATGATAAAGAATCGATGATTAAGGTGTTCGCTGCGACCACCCTGTCTATCGATAATTTTCCATAATCTAGGTTTAAAATGGCAGATCAATCGATACATCACAAAGCACGCCACGCCACTGCTCTGATCGTAGGAATCCTGATGGGAATCATAGGAGAGCACATTGTACAGCAGAGAGAGAAGAAGAAACAAAAAGGGAAAGAGAAAACAGGGGGAACGAAGGAAAGGGAAAGGATAAAAAAGATGGAGAAGAAGATGTCATTTTGAGAAAGAGAATGAGAAGATGAAAAAAATTAGGCTAAGGAGAAGAAGGAGAACTAGGAGAAGAAGGAGCAAAGGTTGACGTCATATTCAGAAGGAGTAAAATATGAAAAAAGAAGGCTTAAAGGAAGCAAACGTAGGAGGAGTAAAATACGTAGGAGAAGGGAAAGAGTTAGATGAAGAATCACATTTTCTTCGTGTTTGTCTTGCTCTTCGTATACATCTACCATTTCTATTCCTACCCCTCTTCAACACCCTTAGCCCCCTCCTTCTTTTTCTTCTCTTTCATCATTCTCCTCCTCTTCTTCTTCCTTCTCTATGTCTTTATCCTCGTCTTATTTTTGCTCTTTTTTCTTCTTTGCGCGTCTTTCTTTTTCTTTCCTTTACATTCTTCTCGATTTTGCTTTTTCTTTTTTCCTTATTTTTTTTTCTTTTTCTTCCTCCTCCTCCTCCTCTTCCTTCTTCTCCTCATCCTCCTCCTTCCTCCTCTTCATATTACAGGAGGTATACGATCGATGAGACTGAGCGAAACATGTGGCGA